CACCAGATCAGGCCGCCTTATAAAAAAACCTAACAAACTTAATCTATAAAAGGGAAGATGTATGATAGTGTCTAGATTCACTGGATAACTGGCGCTGTTACAGTAGAGCAATTTGAGAGTCAGTAGACGTAGTTGCGGTAGCGCTAAAAAGATATTCATTCGCGCATCTCTTTTTCAGTTAGTTATATTTTTATGTTCAACACATCAGGATTTCTTGTTGTAAGGAAAACACAGAATAAAGCTTTGTATCTCACATAAGCACGCATTCACAATCAGTTATCCACTCCTTACCAGACTCATACAGCAAATCATCATTATACCTGTTCATATGATACTTATACAGATAATTTAGCAATTACAGATATTGAAGACAGATTCAGTAGAATCTGCAGATGTAGAATGTGTATCTGTACTTGAAAATATTGCAATTGAAGAAAAAGAGGGCGACGATTTTCTGATCGAGTTATACAGAGAACGAAAATTTTTATACGATAAAAGTCATCGGGATTTCAAAAATAAGCAAATAAAAGAAAATGCTTGGTTCGAAATTTCTACAATATCATGCAACAGAAAAACTTAGATTATCATATTTTCACTATGTGAATATAATATAATTATATTACATTAATATGACAGATATTTTTGAATGTTTTGATTCTATGAATACCATTCTACCCCTATGCGAAAGATTTTTCATTTCTTACCGAACACCCTGTATAAAGACTGAGCGCGAAGGTGATGTTAATGTAATTAATGTATAAAGGATTTGATGTATAAGTAAGTTTATGGTTTGTCACGCCTTTCCCCGGCGTCGATCTGGTGCGGAGCGCGCTCCGGGGAACGGCGGATCAATCGGATCGGAGGGCCGGCGATGGCCCTCGTGCGGGGGGGTACCTCACGCGGTCGAGCAAGAATCGAGAGCCGCGACAATGTTGGGTGCCAGACGTGCTTCCAAGCAACGTCGATCCCGCGAACGGGAACGCAAACCACGCGGAAACCGCGAGACTCCGGTAACACCAAGGATCCACAAAAACCGAGAGCGGTTTCTCGCTCGCGTGAGGGCTGGCTAGCTCTACCTAACGGCAGAGGGGGGG